TCCTGCAACGACTGCCCGGAACTGGGTGGGGTCACTTATCCCTTTCAAACCCTGACTTGTGGTAAAAGATGTACCCTCATTCGTATTTGCACCAGCAAGTATAGGCACCCGTACAAATCTGCCCTGCTTCAGAGCCATGCGCGAGTTTCCATCGAAGAATTGGCCGTCCGGAACTGGGGTCAATGATTGATTTTGGAAAGCGACTTTGAGCGCCTCGACGGGTACACTCCTCAGGCAGTCGAGCGTGTCCTCCTCGAGCATACAACCGGTCTGCCTGAGCAAGTTGTCGTAGAGGACGTCCTGCTCCTGCACCGACATTCCCCTCGCATCAACCGCCGGTCCACCAATCTGTACAATCGCGGCGCGGAAAAGACCCTCATCTTTCCCTCCATACGCAGCAAGGTGATGTCCAATTGACATCGCACCCGCCGACTCTCCCTGAATAGTAATCTTTTCCGCATCTCCACCAAACGCAGCGATGTTATCCTTCACCCACCAAAGCGCCAGGCGCTGGTCGTGCAAACCCAGATTCGCTACTTTAGACTCCAGTACCGCACTGCCGGGCAGGAAACCGAAACCAGATAGCCGGTAGTTAATCGTGACGCCGATGATGGGCGCACCGACGGTGACTGATTCTCGCACGAGGAAAGACATGTTATAGCGTTGATCCCCGCCACTGCCTTCCTGGAAACCACCGCCGTGTATGAAGAGTAGTACGGGGAGTTTAGCGCCTTTGTTGAGACCAGCGGGTCGGACGACATTGAGCGTTAGGCAATCTTCGCTTTCGGGGTACGATGGCGTGGTCTGTGAGAATACGGGTAGGTTTATGGAAGTGGAAATGCATCCCGGTCCGTAATTGTTTGCGTCGAAGTGTCCTAAGGGATGGGTAAGGGGCGCAGGGCGGCGGTAGCGGAGGGGTCCGGTTGGGGGTTGGGCATAGGGGATGCCGAGGAAGAAGTCTTGGTTGTAGTTTGGGTTGTGTATCCCAGTGAGGGTTCCGTTGGTTATTTTGACTGTCGGGTAGAGGGTGGAGGCACTTGTAATGTTTGTTAGAAGATATAGAAGTAATGCTTTGACGTTGGTGTTCAGCATGTCTGGGAAGTAGTAGATGGGGAACAGGATGATCTGCTTCTTGTGGAAGCACCTACCGAAAGGATTTCTCGAACTACTTATGCACCTACCTAGCTACACATAACAGCATTAAACGGCATCCAAGTTGAGCATCTAAAGACGTTCCTCGCGTACTCCCTTGATAGTAGGTAGTCGGCCCGAAGCGAGCTCGGGACGGATGGTCATGGCTATCCGGTCAGGCACCTTGAGCGAGAAGTGGATCAGACTTTTGATAGTAAGCCTTGGGATTCGCTCTATACGATGTCTAAAACCTGGGCACAGTCGACTTGTGGGCGGCCAAGGCTCAACGACCTCGAGACGTTGTTGTATAGTGGAGTCTCTCGGAGCCGCACTGGGCGGTGGGTATCTTGCTTAGGCCATGCTCGAATCTGTTCCAACTATCTATCGTTGGGAATGAAGACAGTCGGCCGAGGCCAAGTGCAGGCGCGATGATCCTTTCTGGAGGCGGGCCGGTTACTCAGAAGGCTGCATTAGGCGTCGCGAGAGCTGAATGTACGTAATTAGGTTCGCGTGTTAATATCGTGAGATATGTTGACGGAGCCTGTAGCACTGACTGTTGGTCGCGTTGGGAAAGTGAAGTATCTGAGGGCACGTGATGGTGCGGCTCAAAGTATGCAGGGGTCGGCTCGCTTATCTGGCATCGATCTGAACTCTCCATGTTCCAGGGACCATCTGCGTCATCGATCGGTGCTAAAGGGACGCGACAGCTGAACGCGTCGAAACTAGCACGGCAATGGCTTCATTAAATCCTGTTTCAGGAGGTTATCCTCATCTCGCTCGTTCTGCGGTTCCACGAAACGCGTATGCTGCTCGCACGTCCGAGGCTCCTGTTATCCGTCAAACCCTTTCTACGCATACACCCATCCTTTCTCGCGAAGAGACTAGCCACGATGCCACCGAAACGTAAAGCGAGCATACCCGCCAATGCGGCATCCGCGAAGAACTACACCGACGTGTCCGGCGACGCTCCCAACAAGCGCTCGCGCATTGCCAAACCTCTCCCAAAAGCCACCTCGAAAGTCGCGCCTCCCGTAGACTCGATAGCGAAGAACACCGAGAATGGAGCGCCTGGAGAGGCCGTGAAGAAGGAGGAAGAAGGTTTCGACCATTCGAGACCAGAAGAGAGAGCCGGCATAGTCGATCGACGATACTATCCTGCCGAGATGAGCAATGAACGATGCGCATTGTACAATCAGAATGAGGTACCGCGCCCGATCGAGATTCTGAACAAGACGTTGGAGGATACGAAAGACAAACGAAAGGCTATCAGAGAAGGGAAGAAAGCGCAAGATGGCGACGCGGTGGTACACTGGTTCAAGAGGGATCTGCGGATAGGAGATAATACTGGCTTGTCTCAAGCAGCAGAATTGGCGGAGAAGAAAGGAGTGGGTCTGATAGGCGTTTGGTTTATGAGCCCGCAAGACTGGGAAGCTCATCTGGTCAGCCCGCCAAAATGTCATTTCGAATTGCGCTCTGTGGAGACACTAAAGAAGGAGCTCGAAGAACTGAACATCCCCCTTTACATCGAAACGATTCCCGAACGAAAGAACGTGACAAAGCGGTTGGTGGAGTTGGCAGAAGAATGGAATGCGAAGAACGTCTTCTGCAACTTGGAATACGAACCTGACGAGCTTCGGCGGGAGGAGCGCTTGGTACGCATGATGCTGGAGAAGGGCATCAACTTCGAGCCGCACCACGACGACTGCGTGGTACCGCCTGGTAGTCTCAAGACAGGAGGTGGCAAGCAATATGCGATGTACAGCCCTTGGTTCCGATCATGGGTTGCACATCTGCATGAGCATCCACATCTTATGAGCGAGCGCCCCATGCCCGATCGCAATCCTCCAGCCTTCCGCAAGAAATTCACTCAGCTCTTCGACACGAAAATCCCCGATCTACCAGAGTGCAAAGCGTTGACAGCAGAAGAAAAGGAACGGTTCCAGCAACTGTGGCCCGCGGGTGAGGCCGCTGCTATGGATCGCCTCGAGCGCTTCTTGGAAGAAAAGGTGGTAAAATACAAGGACACGCGCAACTTTCCCGCGATGAACAGCACCGCACGCGTGAGCGTGCATCACGCTGCTGGCACGCTGGCGGCACGAACCAGTATACGTATGGCTCGAGACGTCAACAGCGCGAAGAGACTCGACGGAGGGAAGGATGGCGTCAAAGGCTGGTTGGGAGAAGTCGCATGGCGGGACTTCTATCGGCATGTACTCGTACACTGGCCCTACGTTTGGTATGCTCGACCAATACCCTCTATACCATGAAGATACTAACACAACCCCAGCATGAACAAGCCCTTCAAATTCGAATACACAAACATCGAATGGGAATACAACGACGCGCACTTCCAAGCCTGGACGCAAGGCCAGACCGGCTACCCCATTGTCGACGCCGCAATGCGCTGCCTCAACCACACAGGCTACATGCACAATCGCCTCCGCATGATAACCGCCTCCTTCCTCGCGAAACACCTCCTCCTCGACTGGCGCCTCGGCGAACAATACTTCATCACGCACCTCATCGACGGCGATTTCGCGTCCAACAACGGCGGCTGGGGCTTCAGTGCATCGACAGGTGTAGATCCACAACCGTACTTTAGGATCTTCAACCCGTGGACACAGTCGGAGAGGTTCGATGAGCAGGGCGAGTTTATCAAGCTGTGGCTACCGGAGCTGGCAGAGGTCGAGGGGGCGGCTATACATAATCCGTATGCGGCGGGTGGAAAGGCCGCGCAAATTGCGAAGGCCAAGGGCTATCCCGAGCCGGTTGTTGAGCATAAGTTTGCGAGGGAGAGGTGCTTGGCTAGGTATAAGGCTGGCATTGGGAGGAACACTGCGTGAAGAGTTGTTCATGAGATGTTGAGGCATGAATGGCTTTAATTCAGTTGTAGCGTTTGCTTGGGCACCGTTCATTCATCTCTATTCGACATAGTTGTATCTTCCGCAATCTATACGACTTATACGCAAGGAAAGTCGAGTCGGACATTCGGTCGTTGGATCTATTCGACCATGTGTTGAAGTGTGCGGGAACAGGTTGCTCTCAAATGAGGAGTTTCGCAGCACCAAAAACTTCAGAAGACATGTGCATTGCGATCCGTTACTGAGATCAGTCATATCGCCCCTTTTTGTGGTAGGGATCTGCAGTGCGGGGCTAATGCGCGACAGTCGGCCCGAGCAATTCGACCAGATCGCTTTTGTCGCGTTCCCCATCTTCCTTCTCGCAATAACGCAGGAACAGTAAACACGGCTGTTGTCGATTGGAACTGGCGTCATTATTGAATCCCTACATGGTTACTTACGTTACCGCCGCATCAGCATTGATCAGCTTTTCTGCAGGATCTCACGTGAAAGCTTCCTCCGTCCCCCTCAGGAGTTGACCTCGAGGAACCGCGACCAGCTATGGAACAGCCAAAATGTACCAACTTCGTCAAGCCCAAACCAATAGAACCCGCAGAGAGACCCTGGCGGCTCCTTGACAGTGGTCAAACGGTGCCAATGCCCTATGGAGAATTTCACAAAGAGACATTTGGAAAAGTCAAGTCAATAATGGCCGACTATGGCATGCTGAACGCCATCTTGATAAGATCCGAGGGCGTTATACGGAAGAGATGGACAAAGAAGACGCGTACTCAACGTAAAGCTATTCTTGAACGATCATGGCACACGCAAATGCCACACCAGCATCGCCCAGACCTTCGCGACTACTACAGAGTCGAAAGACGAGAGTTCAGCGAGGCTTCCACTTCCACGATCAGAGAAGATGTATACAAATGGCCATATATCAATACAGAGGACCTCGTGACTCCAACACATGTCTTACAGCTTCTGAACTCTCGCGGACGGTATACACCCAACAATTTTGCCGAGATGGATTGGCAAAGCTCAGAGCTCGGTCGCAACATCAATGTTATCAAGGTGCGTCCGATATATTACGACCCAAACGACGAAGGCCAACACAAAGCTATATTGGAAGACGAATCCAACGGCAAGGAACCCGAAGATGGGGAAGTTTCACGTAGTTCGGAAAATGAGACAGTACGCGAATGGCAAGATAAATACAAACCCAGCGAATGGGGTTACTATCTGATGATGCATCCTACTGATCTACAAGAATACGGGCTTCCGGTCAAGCTTCCGGTCGCTCTGGAATCTCAAAAACACGTGAGGCGCGCGAGCGAGGCTCTTATCGTCCTACAGATACAGCAGCCTCTGATGGCCTTCCTCGTCAAGATCTGCCTTGAGCTACTTCCCGACGTAGAAGGTGGTCTGGACGGGTTCAAGGCCTTCTTCCAAGCCCCCGAACAACCCGAGCCCCCCGAAATAAGAACGACAAAAGAGGATGGATGGGACTCGGCTTTCGCACTAGCCCAAGACATTCCATATACCGCCCCACAATGGGAAGACTTTCTCAAAATCATGTCCTCTATAGCGGCTAGAATACACGAGTGGAAGGACCATGCCTGGGCTATGCGCGATGATCCATCCTATTTCACTAATGCTGTTAGCGAGTTCTGTAAGTGCGAGGCGCCGTGAGGAGCATCGATTGAAGCACGCTGACCCGATGCATGTAGATGAACACAGCCCTACACATGTATTGGACAGGAAGGGAAGGAAAAGCCCCCATCTTACTGATCCAGCCCTTCAAAAAGACTTTTGGCACATTACGATATACTCGATCATCATGGATTATTACGAGAATCTTGTCATGTGGCATGCTGCACAAGCTGCTCTACACAAGGTTGCTCGGCTGCTGTTGACACGGTTGGAGAAACAAGAAGGGCATGATGCATGGGTAGAGGCTGTCGCGGACTTGAAAGATTTACTTGATATGCGCCTTATCAAAAGCCTAGCTTCACGGTTGCCGAGTTGCTTCATTGGCTCACCACCGGTGCGCGGCATGTTCGTACGTGACCATGCAGTTCCAGAGGAATTACCCCTGCTCAGAGACCCGAGCTCTTTTGGGAAAGACTATTTGTTATGGCTGTGTTCCTTGCTTTGGTCTGAGGAAGGCCTTGGGGTTCCTCAAATTGTAGTCAGGGAAATGGCTCGAGTTATACAACAGGACAAGGACCAGAAGTACAGAATCACACCCTTGGTCGCACAGGTCAGTCATTACCCATGTAAGAAATGCGTATGAGATAGCCACTGACCTCGTACACGTTGATAGCTCGTGTCAGACCTAGCTATTTGTTTTGAACTACGAGCTCGCCTGCGCCTGGTGTGCCCACAAGCTTTCAAACCTGATGAGCAGTACTGTACCGTTGGAGCCGACCGCGACTATCACGAGATAGTCATGGAGGTTTCTGTGAAAGAACTAAACGTGATCTTAGACCCGGAATGCGGTCCAGAATACGATGCCAAACGCCGATATGATTTTCTCCTTCTTGGTGAGCTCGGGCATCCAAAGACAATGCCGTACCCTGTCGGCAAGCGAAGAACCAAAGAGAACGTAGAGATTATGCAGGCTACTGAACGACGGCTCGATGAGCTTTGGAGCAAGTTCGATGCTCACGTGCAGAAGTATTTGAAGAAAATACACCTCGAGGCTCTTGAATCCCTAGCGCCGTCAAGAGGACAAATACAACGGACGCCAGACTGGATAGAACCGGCGAAACCTTCCAACAAAGCGAAGAAAGATGCTGCCCTGCAGGAATACATCACGCCTCTCATACCGGAGCAGCAGCCCGACCCTGTAGACCTTCCAATTCGGAGTGAGAAGCGCAAGACCAGGGGGATTGCGAATGATCCTTCCACTGAGCCTGTCGAAGTCGCAGCAGACTTGCAGCCAGTCGCTTCTGAGGAAACAAACACTCCGCCTACACCGCGCTTCACCGTTGGGAAAAAGACACAGCACACATTCTCGACTATATTCTTCCAGCCGTCTGCAAGCTCGCATCCCGGTGAAGTCCCATGGACTGAATTCCTCTCAGCTATGAACACGATTGGCTTCTCACCCGAGAAGGTGTATGGCTCTGTATGGCGCTTCACACCGAGAGAGGGGGGTGTTATTACGGCAAGGCAGCCAATCAATTTCCACGAGCCGCATCCTGAGGGAAAATTGAGGTTTGAGGTAGCAAGGAATTACGGGAGGAGATTGACGAGGAACTATGGTATCGATGGTAGCAGCTTCATTGTCGCGTAACTGTGTGTGTGCGGATTGCTACAAGACAATGTGAGGAGGTGACAGCATGGGTTTAAGGTAGCCTAGTGTTTACCAGTGTGGCTTCAGTGCGCTTTCCTAGAGACAATAGACCCGTTTTGTGTATTCATCAACGACGAGCCCATGAGTAAGCGTGGAGATCGTCAGTGCGTGAGCAAGCACTATTTCAACGACTATGAAAGGCATGTGCTCAGTCTGCTGAAGAACGAGGGGCGTGGCCTCGATCTAGTCTTCCCGCCGTACTGTGGGTTTCTGTTGACGATACTCCTGGATCCTTGTCTCCATATCACCGTTCCATGGCAGCCCAAGTTTCTCAGCCAGCGTCTTTCGAAACCGTTTGTTCTCCTGCCCTGGCTTGTGTAATCCACAGAAATGTATAGTTTCAAGATAAACATCCATCAATGGCTTGTCATAATCAGGCTCAATGCCGCCGTCCTGACAGTCAGAGCTGATACCTAGCATCGCATAGATGAGATCGCGTGGTTCGGAAGTCTTGAGACCTCTGTGGCATGCCAGTCGCAACCATGTTATTAGAGGACTTGAGTCCATAGGCAGCCGTTTTCGTGTGATAAGAGCGTTAGCAGCACTCTGCCTAATTGTGGCAGATATCTCTTTGCCACACAGACTATCATCTCGTGTCATTAAACCAAGGATAAGATCGAATCTTTCGTAGTTTAGAAGATCTTCCCAACTAGATATGATGTAAATCTTGCCACCCAGGAACACCTCTTGTTGGACCCAAACGCGGTTCCAGTATGATTTCTGACACAGCTCGATAATTGCAGAATAGATGGTGTCATTCCATACTGGTTCTATCCCCATGTAAATCCCATCCAATGGATTGTTGATCTCTTCGATAATATGTGCGATATGACTGTCAATCATACCAAGCCATATTAGCACCTTGGTGGCTCGACGATAGATCATACCCATGAGCTCGACTTGATGATTTCTCTCTCGCGTGTCGGACTGGTTAATACTCAGTGCATCAATCCAAATTCGAAGATCGTAGTGTTGTCTTTCTTCGCGTCTAAAAGTAAGCAACGCGTCAAACAGGTTGCGTCGCACAGTAAAGAAATGGCCATTGAGGAGAATAGCCGGATCGTCATCGGCGGGTGAGCCCCATTCGTAAGACAAAGCTTCATAGGAGACCTCGTTCATTCGGATATGTTCGATATCGCACTCGATGCTCTCGCTCATATCGAATGGCTCAGGTCGTCTCGCACTCCGGGGAGTATCGTCAACATAAGAGCTTGCTGACTCAGCGGGTCTAATGCGGATTACTCGAATTGTGTCAGGTGTTTCCAGAAGCTGGTATTCAAATGGTGCCAGTTTTGCGCACCATTCTCGAAGCCCTACGAGCCTAAGCTTAGCCAGTGTTTCTTGTTATCAAAAGCATGTATTACATCTTGTTTCCGCTTCCGAGCGTTCTTTCCTCAGTTTCCTCAGCTGCAGTCTACCACGTATAGTTCTGATTGCGCGCATCCGAACGATGTAGCCGTCTGAACTGCCTAAGTATTGAGACCAGAGCAGTCGAACGCTTTCCTTTCCGTTGATTCTGGCCACGAAGCTGAGAGCTGGGAGAACGCATATACTATCGACGTGGTGTAGCGCTGGATAGAAGCTATGAGGTGTGAGAGTGCCCGTCTCTCAGTGTCGCACGGAACAAACTCCCTGTAGTGAGATTGCGGTAGTAAGCTTCCCGAAGGACGTATCGATGTCAGACGAGAGGGGTGGCTTCTAAGGTTCAGCTGGATGCTGCCCAGGTGAGCCAAGAACCTCAGCTAACCGTATTTGTCCACGCTACTGCGGCCTGAAACCTCCACCCGCAGGAACGGCATCCTCTCTGCTGTCGGCTTTCGCGACTTGACGTCGGAAACAGATTCGCTCATAATTTTCGGTCGCGTACACGCATCAATTGACAGTTCCTGGGATGGGTTGAATGTGGCCTATGCGCAAAGACTCTGCGTTGGAGCTGAGCGTTAGGCAGCCGCGCCCTGTGATCAAGCCACCTCTCATCGCATTTTGACGGCCATCCTCAAATGTGTTCAGGCATCCTCGAGGCTCCAAAACTACGCCACGCATACGTGATCCGGTAATTGTCATGACGCAGACTGGAAAGTGCGACACCTGTCGGCAGCGCAAGGTCAAGGTAAGACGCGTTTCAATCCCCGCAATCATGTTATCGCAAAGCGTTGCAAGTCGTTGCGGAATGAATATGTTCTTACTAATGGCTACCTAGTGTGACGAAGTGCGACCCAAATGCAGCGCATGCAGGAAGAAAGACAGACCATGTGCCTACTCCTACGGCAAAGCCTCAGCATTCGTCGTGCAGGATCCCAGACAGTTGACCAAACATGGAAGATCCAAGACTGGCTCTGCCGTATATCCCTTGAACTCTCCTGACGAGGGCTCAAGCTCGTCATCAACAACCTCATTCGCAGCCGGCTCGTCCTCGTCAAATTCCTCAGACCTCTGCATCACTACCGAAAGGCACACCGACGATCGCCTAGGTTGCTTTCAAACCCTGGCACCGCGTTCAAGATCTAGGATGCAGCCGTCGAAGATGAGAGAATACCGGCAGAATCTTGCGCTTCAAGTACATCTCCAGAAGCTACGAGAAGAGAGTCCTCTCGCATCATATCAGCCATCCTCGCCCGAGACGACCCTGATCTCCCGATACGTTGGCGTGCTCGGACCAGAGCCCGCCGGTAGGCAGCCTTTTGAGGTCTTAGGGACCTGGATACAGTCTATTCCCTCGCGCATCGGGTCGAACAAGATGCTTGATTTGGCCGTTCAGTTCTTCGTCGATAGTCACGCTACGTATCGAGATGATATGCACTCGAAGCGCAAGGTCGCGAGAGCTTCAAAGGCTAAAGCGCTCAAGGAATTGCAGCTCGCCGTGATGAACACTGATAACAAGGTCACGTACGACATCCTGTTGGCTACGAAATTACACTACGCTGCTGAGGTTAGTCAGCCTGTCAGACGTCGACGTGTTTTACTGATCACATGCAGGCTCTTCTGGGGCTCGATACTATGTATTACGCGATTCATGCGTTCGGAATCGCCGAGCTGCTGAGGTCAGGTGCGGTGGCGGAAGTTGATGACGATCATTTCTGGAATTTGATCGACAATACCTATGTCGACGATGTGAGTACTGGTCGGTCTTGGGAGTTCGCTGCTGATGTCGAAAGGTTCACGAGGCGATGATGATGGGTCGGAAGTCAGTATACCACAACGACTATTACCTGTCTGCTACAATTCCACCTCCGATCGATACAAGAGATGTCATGCTGTCGCCATCACAGAGAGCGTCGATGGCCGTCATGCACGTTTTCATTCAGTGCCCTTACGCGGTAGCATTGATCCGAGAAGCCCTTTCGAACCCCGAGGACACGATCGCGCTTGCAATCGCCATGTCATATTTGGAGGGTCTGATGCAAATCAACGTGTCGCAGCACGTAGCTGAGCTCATTGAAACGACCGTGTCTGTGGTACCGATTCCACCGTCACCGGACGTCGCCGACCTAATGCCCGACACCCTCGAGTTCAATTCGGTACAAGACTTCATACTTTGCACCAGAAGCTGGATGTTACAGTCGCTCCTCTGCGGTCTTGCGGATACACTTTATCGATACTTCCCGACTGAGGCGGCGTTATCGCTACTCCCGTCGCCTCAGCAATTACGAATTATTGACGTTGATAGCGCACTCTGTCTCCAGAAGTCGCACAGATGGGCAGATTCCGTTTCCAAACATATCCCGCTTTTGACAATGCGCTTACACACTCCACTCCAGATGGCTATTGCCCCATGGCACCGCATGACGCGAGATCTTACATCCCAGCGCTCACCATCTGCCTCGCCAGGCACCCCCTTGGACGTGGCTGCGGAGCTCACACGCGCCAAGCGCATGCAAGCTTGGATAGTCAACGAAACCAACAAGATACACAAGAACTGGAACGTCGCCACCGTCGACGAAGAAATCCTTATAGAAGCTCTAGAAGCCCTATCTGGAGAGAAGATGCCAGATTGGCTTCCAACACGCGTGCGCTTCGTCCCCGAAGAAGGCGAAATGGCTCTACACATGGAATTCGAGAACAGAACAGGGACCTACTCCACTGGGCGAATTGATGTGAGCAAGGAGCCTCCGCGCAAATTGGCGATGCCGCCGCATCCTGGCGAAAAGGGACAAGAATGGCAGAGGAAGAATGTACACGTAGTGGAACTTCCACTTAGAGGAGGGCGGAATGAAAGACCGGTAGACTTCTTACATAGTACAGGGAGGAACCTGTGTACGACTTCAGGGTGGTGGCCTCAGTCACACGAAACATCACACAATAGCTAGGAGGTAGTCAAGTACAAAGCAATCTCCATTCTCATCGCCACTGGGTATCGTGACAGCTACATCGCCCTCCCCGCTCACTCCCCACAAACCTCAACCCCCAATGTCTTCTACAACCCCCTCCTCACCCCCTCATCCCCTCATCCCACCGTCCCCAAATCTGTCGTATGCCCCACCCGGCATCTCAGAACCCCTTGTGTCCTTCACCAGTATCACCGTGGTACTCCTGCCACATGCCCGTGAGTTGCTGAGCGCCGCACTTTGCGCACTTGAACTGGTGCTGGAACTGCGGATATGGGCTCCGCGGGACGTTATGCACAATGTTGGCGGCGCAGCAAGAGGGGTTGCAGCAGAAGTAGGTGTATGAGGAGGTTGGGGCTGGTGTGGTCATTGTTGTGGTTGCTGTTGAGGTGGTTGAAGGTGGTTTGTTGTGGTGGTGTGATGGGGCTTTGGGAGTTTGTGGTAATGTGGTGAAGTTGTGGTAGTGGGTCGTTGTTGGAAAGGGAATAGAGGATTGCGCTTGGAAATCGCGGTTTATATAGAAGGAGGGTGTGAGGCACAGCGATGGAGTGTGTTGGTGAATGGTGAATTGACTGAGACATACTGGGAGTGCTGTTGAGGCTGTTACGTCGAGGACGGCGTCACAGCTGACGAGCGTGTCTACTGGCAGTGTTATCTATCATTCACCTCTTAATCCGTCTTCTTCAGTTCCTGCTTCACCTCCTTAAGCACCTCACACCCCTTCGTGTCCTTGCTCCCACCGCGGCACGCAGGACAAGTCCTTCCATGCTGGATAAGAAAGAAATGCAACTTAAACTTCAGCTCCGGCGGGATCACCGCATCCAAATGCAACTGCGTATTCTCCCTACTCGCTTCCTTTGGCCGCCACCCCCATAAGCCAGCAATGCGATACACATGTGTATCAACCGTGAACCTGTTCCTCTTCAAGCACCAGCCCATTACTACGAACGCAGACTTTGGGCCCACGTACTTGTAGCTCATGAGCTCTTTCATGGCATCTTCGTCACTGGCTTCGAGAAGGTGGTCCAGATTCCAGCGTCCGTAGCGGCGCTTCACTTCCTCGAGGATGGACATGATGATCTTAGTCTTTCTGATGTGCAAGCCGCCGCAGCGGATTGTCTCTTGTAACTTTTCCGAACCCCCGTTGTATATCTCTTCATAGGCGAACACCGAGCCGTAGGTGTCTTTCATACTGTCCATTGCGCGTTTCGCATTGTTCCAGCTCGTGGCTTGGCTGAGCACGGCGACGATGAGGGCGTCGAGGACGAATGGGATTGTCTCGGGTGTGTTGGTGTCTTCGAATTCGGCTTCGACGGCGGTGTTGTGCAGCTTGTGAAGGATGTCGTAGGCTAGTTGGCACTCGCGGTTTGTGGGGTGGCCGAAGTCAGGGTATGGCGTGGATGTCGCGTGGGCGGACCATGCTTTCCATTTCTTCTCTGCGCCGGTGTTGTCGCCGGCTGTGGGCTCTTCTGCTTTGAGTTTGCTGGTCTGGTCGTTTGGCTTCTTCTTGTCCCCATCACTGTTTTGCGCAATAGCATCTCTTTTTGCGGAACGATTTGCTGCTCGGCTGTCGACGCGCTTGCTGAGAGTGTCTTCACCAGTTGACGAACCAGAGTGTCTTCTCTTCATCGCACTACTCGCGGTCTGTTGCGCAGTACGTGTCGCCGCTCTCGTCGATCTTCTTAGAGCCATGCTGTAAATTAACATCTAAGAAATAATGCAGGTTGCAAGTGTGTCAGACAATATCGTAGACGCGCTTTACCTTGGAGCAAGTTCGGCGGACGCGTTAGAGGTATATACTAATCAGCACGCTGACGTCTTCATCAGTCGCGGCCCAGGGCCCTTGCATGAGGACGCGCTAATCATGCCCATGATCGCGTCGGATTCCGCGGGCGCTGAGATCTAGATTCGCGAGATGCAGTGCGGAGGTGCCGTAGCGCATCGAATGTTCGGCGATGAACCCATCGCGGCGATAAACCCAGCTCTCGGAGATAGACCCACACGCTAGTCCTGTCTTGTCAAACATTGCTGACTGAGGAACGACCGCTTTGGTAGAAGGGCATACGTTATGCTTAATTCTGTGCTATTGACTGTAAATCAAAATATCTTTGAAATTATCTCGAATTACACCACATAATCCTTATACCTCCTCACGAAATCATGCAAGTCCTGTGTCGAATCACAAGGCGCAGGTTGCATGTAACGACAGCTCCTACCTCCCGACTTCGAGACCCTCAGGATGGTCTTGGTAAGCCACCAGTACTCCGCGGCGTGCTTTTCGAACCCCAGATCAGGCAAGAAATTTCCTTCGCTATCTCGGCTCACTACATCCCAGAGCGCCTTCCATCGGTCGGTGGCGCGGAGCATCGGCTCTATGTTCATACCAGTGAGGAAGTTCATTCTGGATGTCATGACGATCGACAGCAGTGCTATGAGAGTCAGCGGGTTCACCATAGTATGGGTGATGTGAGAACGAACCGCAGATGAGTATCAGCATATGTGGTGGTGAGACGGCTTCCCCGGGCTCATCAGCGCGCTGTGCAACAGGGGAAAAAAGGGCGCGTGACATGAGTTCGGGTAATGTCTCGACTCGTGGTCGCGGAAGCTGATGCGATGCAAGACGCGCGAAGTCGGCGGCCGACTCAGCTCTGAACAGACTCTCCTCGCAGGGGAGATCACCTATCGTCTCACAGATAGCAACTTGCGGGGTATTGTTGAAGAAGACGGAGAGCGTGCTGTCGAAGAGGCAGGTCCACGTGCCCAATCTGCGAGTGTTATTAATGGCTTCATGTACATAGTGTGGACGGGGTCATGGTACCTCGATCGCATTTCATCGTTGATGAAGCCCTGCCAGTCATGTTCATTTTGACTGGGAATGATGTGATGCTGTTTGTGCGCAAACAAGCCTGAAGCTCGCACAGCAGCGACAAGCGACGGAATGCGCTGGAGGCGGATTCGCCGTCTTGTGACGATATCGTTACTGTTGTTTAGAAACACCAAGAACAGTAGACCTGCTTGCAATAACTGGAGATGCTCATCGTCGATCCACGCCGAGTGATCAGCTTGCGACATCTGCTGTGACACCAGTTGATCGAATACGTAGGCCTCCGCAACGTGTGAGAACCGTCGTACGCCAATGGAGGTATCAGACTCTAGAGTCGGCAGCGACCCGAATAATACGAGCGCGAGTAGAAGCGGGAAAGAGACCGTCTGTATATCGAACGTCGGCTTATGCAGAATGGGAAACGAGTAGTGAAAGTAGCGGAAAAATGCCCAAACAAAGTGCCGCACATTGCCGACTGTAAAGACGGTTTCAGCAAGTTGGTAGTCGAATGTTGCATCAACAGCATCACCGCGTTCCAGCATCGCGCCGTGCTTAGCAGACAACTGCTGCAACATATCCCTCAGGCGTACTTCGAAAGCGTACGCATCTTCCAGTTCAGGTGTCAGACCATCGCTTATGATCGGAGACGCGTAGTCGACTTCTCGTCCAGATACCACGAACGGAAAGCTGAAGAAGACAGAAGGTAAATCTGCGAACTCAAAAAACGACTGGTCGTGCGTCATATCCTGATCTGCATCGTGTGGTTGTACGTGCGCCTCGCCATCTGCACCATCGAGCTCAGCGGCCTCAGCGGCGATCGCAGCGGACGGGCGATAACCCGAGGGATTCGTAAAGTTGAGGAGGAAATCGATGGAGATGCCCACGCGCTGTCGGTCGGTACTCGTCTCAGTACCGTCTTGGCTGCTTCCGACAGATGCAGTCGCACCTGCAGAAACGCCGTCTAGCCGCTTATATGTACACGCCGCGCCACCGTCGCGACAACGCACACATGGCATTTTGGTATCGCATGACAGCTTGCGCTGCGAACATCTATCGCAGGAGTTTCGCTTTCTGCCGCGCCTCAATGTGGGTAGACTCACGTCATCGCCGTGAGCGGAAGAGCAGTTTGACAAGTGGCGTCGAGCGAGGTCTCTGTATCTTTGTCAGCTCTCATCAAGCATATTCACAGAGAAATAAGCCCACCGTCGCGTAAACTGCGCGTGACATGATGGACATGTCAAGTCTTGCCTGCCAAAATCTGTCTATTGTGAGCTGCGAATGATTCATCGTGCAATGTGATCTCACGTGACGCTTCATGGCGGCGAAGATGGCTGTTGGTGGAGTAGACCTTGTCGCATACCGCGCATTGATGCTTTGTGCGGATTGCGGGAGGCATGTAGGTCGCGTAAGCATCTCGCACATGAACCCACGGGAAGGAGTGGGCGGGAAGGAGTGGGTTTTATCCCGTGTGGTGGTAGTGGATCTGCTAGCGTCCGCTCGATGCCGATGTGGCTGATCAACGTCATCTTCAACGCCTCGATATCTTGCATGCACGATCGCGAGATATAAGGTTGGACAAGATGTCCATGGAACAATATCGCCGGTGATTGCAATCTGTGAGAAAATTGCTGAAAGCTAGGATGTCCAATCAGGCCGTCTAGGCGATGATGCTGATTCAGTATCCAGGTATCTCATCAGAACATTAGAAAAGTATAACCCCATGTCATCAATAAAACCCCTTCCTAGCCGTCCCCTTCTTCGTCCTATTCTCCCCCCAAATGCAACAAACACTCAAGCTCTCACACCACCCCTGCACCATCGTGCTCTCCAGTTCCTTCTCCACAGCAAACACTTCCGATCCATCCCCTTCCCTGCTTGGCCCCACGCCCAGATGTAGCGCCTCCATGTCCTGCTTCTTGAGATCCGCGTTCCAGGCCTTGATCTGCTTCTGCGTAGCTTTCTTGTACACGCGGATGGGCGTGTGGGTATTGAGGTACGCAGTAAAGTCTTCGATGACGATAGGGTCGTACATGAGGATCTTTTCGTGCCAGGTAGGCTTGCTGGGGTCGGTGGTTGGAGGCAAAGACCGGATATGACTTGTTATCTGAGCAAAGACCTGGGCTTTGATGTTTGGCCATTCGAGTAGCGGGGTGGGTATGCGGTGAATAGGTACTAGACTTGGATCGACCGCTGAGGCTTTCGCTTTCGACGTCTTGCTGGGTGAGGTTGTGGGAGAGAGTGTGATTAGAGACAGAGGTTGCGAGTTGACATGTTTAGTTGTTCGGGGCGGTGTGGGGGAGAGGAGCTGCATGGCTTCGTCTTCGGAGTCGAGAATCTCGTCTATGTCGATGAAGCGACCTGAGCCTGTGGGAGGAGTTGATGGCATCTTAGTACTGGTCTTTGACTTCGCGCGGGGCTTCAGAATTGGCGTCGATGACGCGGAGACTGATGTAGGTATTGCAGAATGCGATTTCGTCGGCCTTCCGCGCTTCTTGGGAGAGCCGTCCATGGGCGTTGGTGCTGAGGCTGGAGGTTTGAAGATCGAGACTGGCGATTTCCGCATCTGCGCAGAGGGCGGGAAGTCAAAGTCGTCGATGTCAACAAAGCTGTCTGGTGAGACAGGTTTCTGACCCGAAGGTGGAGGCTCTTGCATGAAGTCGTCAATGTCCCTGAAGCCCGTATCTTTCATTTGATCATCATCGTTGCGAAACTTCGTCATTGGGGTGGCGTGTGGAATGCTGGGAGGAGGCATTGGTGGATCAGAAGATATGGCAATTGGTGGCAGCGGATCCGGTGGTATATCGTCAATATCTATGAAGTCAGATTGATCATCGCCTTGCTCATCAGGCGCATCGGTAGTGCCATCCATGAGTAATGGGATGTCTTCCGTTCGATCGGGCTCGGGTATATAAACGTCCTTCAAGTGCTCTAGCATACCGCCCTCGTCGTCGCGGGAACTCGCAGCCCAAAGTCCGCGCTTGCCTTCCACCCTGCCGAGCCGTGACCATCGCGGCGGCGCGCCATACGCAACATTGTCGACGTCCTGCTCAGATTCCTTCAGCGCATACTGTAGTTGACGCACCATTGTCGGCGACTCTTCAAGCACAAGCTGACTTGATGTTCCGAACAAGACGTCTTGCTGCTGTAGACGCGACATTGCAGATGAAGGACTGAGCAACTTCTCCGCGACAGGCTTAGGCTTGGCGGCTGCTTTCGAAGATGCTTTCTTCGACCTCGGCTTGGGATCTGCTTTCTCTGTGCCTGACTTTGAGCTGTTACGCCTGCGCACCGGCTTCTTCGGTGCTGCATCGCCGTCCGCCGCCGACACATCGTTCAGCGGCACCTTTGTTGTAGTTGTCGAAGCTCGGGACTCGAAGAAGTTGCTGGCCGCATCGTCTGGAACTGGTAGTGCATCCTTCAAAGCATACTGCTCTGTGACGAGGTCGGTGATGGTGCGTGGTTTCTTCTTCGGTGCTTTGCCTTTCTCGGGAGAAGAGTCTCTAGAGTTGGTGTTATTGCTGGGTATCTCGACAAGCTCGATTCTCCGCCGCTTTGTCGCCGCCACCGCCCCTGTTGCGTTGTTCGATTTCGCAGCGGTCTGCGCAGATGGCGATTGTGCGTAAGCGAAGTTGGAGAGGAGGTTTATAAAGGAGCCATCCGCGTTCTGCGACGAGGTCTCGTTCTCCTTTCCGGTCGAGTCGGTGAACGGCGATGCGATTGTGGTATCGGGTGGCGGCGTCCAATCTCTCCTCCTTACAACAGCCTCCTTCAACTCCAACCCTTGTGCGATGGGATCTGGCTGTCGCTGCTTGGGTGCAGCCTTCTTCTTCGGCTTTGGGCTATCTGGCACTTCCCAGATTGATTGAGGCTTGGCTTGAGTGTCGTGGTCCTCCAAAGAAGGCCGTGTTGCCGACTCCTGGCCTCCGTCTGCTCCACCTCCGAAATGCGCGGACACGACCGATGCATCACCCTGCTTGCCCTTCCCCGCCTCTGCTTTCGCCTTTGTGACCCTCGGTTTCTTTGGCTTTGACGCAGGTTCTGTCCCATTTTCCGCAGTCTTGACCTTCTTCGCGCGAGGCTTACGGGGCTTGCCAGACTTGGTCAGCTTGGGCGCATCCGCAGCTGGTGCCGCAGGGTCGACCGGAGGTTCTGTCGCATCGTCGTCGAAGAAAGGAGACTTTGTAGGTCGTTGCGGCGGGCGTCGGAGTTCGTCGTCGGAGTCAAGGATCTCCTTGTCTGACTTGGGTTTCGCTTTGCGCGCTCGAGGCTTCGGTTTGGGCTTCTCGGAGCCGTCTGCAGCGGTGGTAGTAGCTGCAGCCTTCTTCGTAGTCCGCTTCTTGGGTTTCTCCGCAGCTAAAGGAGGCTCTGTGGTATCCTGTGAGGTCCGCCGGGATTGCGCTTGCTGTATTGCATCGAAGTCGTCGTCTAGGCGGCTTGTGAAGTGCTCGGAGCGTATGAGGCTGCCCACGGTGGCGAATCCTCTGACAGCTCCCTCGGGGATGGAAGCAGCTCGTGCATTGCTCTTGGACGCGCCGACCGTCGGTCTGAGGGGGCTCGCAGGAGGGGAGAATGCGAGAGGGGAGGACGCAAGCATGGCGACGCGACGGGAGGGGGCATCATGTAGCGGGGAAGCGGCCGGCGGACTCGAGGATAGCACCACGACGTCGTACATGGTATTGCCTGCCATTCTGAGGCGAGGAAGGGGCCTCGTGGCAGCCAGTACGGGCAGACGGAGAGGGGCAATCCATAGACTCGGCCTGAGGAGTTGGGGAGGGTGTGGTGTAGTGTGGCGCTGGTTGGTGAAGCCGAACAATGCACGGTCTTTGGGTCAACTGAAGTTCATTGCTGCAACACCAAAGTCTCCATCACCAAATTCCCAGCCATGCCCCTCCACCACCGCAGCTCCCACATCACCCCCCTGCGATCGAGCTGCATTTCGTTGAGAAGCTCTACAAGTACTCGCAGAACATCATCATCGACTTGAATGACTGCCCCCGGCCGCATACAGCGCGGAAACCGCCTCCGCGGAAGTCTTCCAAAACCCATCGTAGCCTCCTGCCCTCCCCCACCCTCGACAGCAACATGGAGCAGACTCGAAGCTTCAGAACACCTCCTTCATCCCGCTCAGTAAGCCTGCGCGCTTGTCGCAGCTTCTGGCGTTGCGAGTGAGGTTCAGGACAGCCGGGAGCCGTCGCTGCGAACCTCACCCGCCGAACGAAGGTCTTTGGCATCCTTCTGCGAGCCTCACACAGCGAGAGGAGCTTCAGAAAGACCACAGTAAGTGCCTCTCGTCTTTGCCGTCGACGTCCTTGACCTTCGCTGCCCCTCCCTGAACCTGCCTCCTCCGCCGCTACCCCGCCTCGAAGCCACACCCATCACCCAGCAAGGGCAAGAGAACATGCAGAGATATTGCTGATGTTTTGGCTTACAGACAAAAGGCTGCTGCTGTACCCTTGCAGCGGCAGCGACATTCTTCTTTGGTTGACTTCAGAGCTGCCTGCGACACACCTCCGCCCTCACCTCCGCCGATAACCCTCAGCGACAAGCATTGCTGAAGCACTGCGCAAGAGGCGAAGCACACGTCCCCATGGCTAGCCCAAGGCTGGGAACTACCATAACGATAGTCCATCTCGCTGTCGATGTTCTGGCGGCATGGCGCTGAACTATTCTCACATGAGAGGCAGCAGCTTGGCCATGTGGACACCCTCGCGGAGTGCCTGGTGAGAGCCGTCAAGCTTGACATTGGAAGTCGACCATCGATGCCTCACCTAGTACCTTCGGATCGGTACTCATGGCGGCCACCCTTGACGCTCTCGTGACCCTCGCATGCCGAAGACGAAAAGACTCGACGCTGTCACTCACTCGAAAGTAAGGCGACTCGGATCGGAGGAAGGGTCTCGGCCTACAACATACTGTGTGGGGCGCTTGGGCAAGCGCGAGGAACCCATGGAGGGGATACATACCAGCAAGAGACGGAGACTATGGGCATGCCATCGGAGCACCCAAAGGTTCATTGCTCATCGACGCAGGCGCGGGTCAAGCCCGCAGCGCTGGCTCGATCTCGCTGTCGATGGAGCATGTGGTGTGTCATACTCAGCCTCCATGGCTAGTGTGTCGAGTAGGCTTGACCAGGCCGCATGGTATGGCGGTTGACGTGCAGTCTACCGGAGCAATGACCGACAAGGCTGTACAGTATTGCATTGTGACTTCGCCAGCGAAATACTTACTGCAGGGTATCGCCAGCGAGACATCCGACAGCGAGTCATCCGACAGCGAGTCATCCGACAGCGAGATACCGGCGCGGAGCCATCGACAGTGAGACCTGGACAGCGACAAATCGACTACGAAATCGTTAGCCTTGCAAAAGAGCATATCAGAGCTCTCGACTTACCATCTGGAATCTGCCATGGAAACCGAACCTTCACGTACGCGATGCTCATCAGCTTCGAAGCTGCAAGAAACAGCCAAGCATTAGCATCACCAGCACCGTCGACGTAGGCTGCTGCCGTCGCAGCCCGAATCGACATCACGCAAAGAAAAAGAACCAGACGACTCTTTTAAACTTTATTAATTCCTGGAAGACGTCAGCATTGTTTCACTCTCGGACGGTATGGGCTGAAGACTCACTATCTATTTATTCCGCATTACGAATCCAACTATCGAACAATTCCAAATGGTAGAAGTCGGAGATGAACCCAATACGCTTCATGCGAGATCGAGCCAAAGCAGCTGTTCTCTGCGCAGACCTCGAAGGCAACGCCCTTGTCGACGGTACCACGCCCAACGCATGTCTTCATGAGGAGCCCATCGGGGAGTACGTTCGGGTCGGCCAGTGTTGCTGGGATGAGAAGGCAGAGATAATTGAGGAGCTTGACTGCGACAAATACCCAGTTCCTGTCTTCCATGGCACTCGCGTAGATGATGTCGACCGTGTACTTCAGCTTGGCTGGGTCCGCGTCGATATTGGCGGTCACCTCGCCGTCTCAAGACCGTCGCACCACGAGAGTCCTTCTCGGCGCCCTCGTAGCGTCGAATATCCAACTTGTTGTTGCAGTCCTCGCGGTTCGCGAGACTTGATGGCATAGTCGACTTCGGGGTAGGGGTTGAGCGTTCATGGTGTGCATAAGGCATGAGCGCGCCTTACCACGAATGCTATCTTGTCTTGGAGCTTGGGGCCATGAGAGAATCCTACTTCGACCAGAAGGCATGTGCGCTGTAAAGGTAGGGCAGCTGACGCGCCTGTCTCCGACGCAGTGCCCCCACACTTCAAGGTCGCTGGCTTCTTTGAAGCGGGCCTCGACCGCGATGATCGCGGCATTCACAAAGAGGTTCGGCAGTGGTGAAGAGGATGATGCAGGACGAGCGAACGCAGTCCTCGCATATGTTGGCGATCCAATCAGATTGCGGAGATTGTCTCGAGTGGTGCGACGACTGTTGCCGAGAAGTTCAAGACTCTGGAAGTACTTAGGCAGGAGCACTGCCTCCGACGCAGTGCTCCCACACTTCAAGGTCGCTGGCTTGTTTGTCGCTGGTTTGTTTGATGCGCCCGTCCATGAAGTCTTTATCGGGTTGGTTTGGTGCGCCACATCAGGTCTTTGCTTTCACATGACCCAGCGCTTCTCTCTCAGCGCGATCAGTCCTGCCACCTTGACCTTGGACATGAGATCCTGGTCCGTCATCACTGTACGCTCCCGCACCTTCTCCAACACCCGTGTGAGCTCCACTTCAGTAGACGGGTTCGAGAAGAAGTGTTCAAGATTCAAAGTTGTGTCGCCAACATGGCATCGACATTCGGTAGAAACAATGCCCTCAGTCAAGACAGATGACGATGATATGGTTGGCGAGGTCGTCGGCGATGGCGGGGATGTTCTTGACGCGCCTACCTCCGACGCAGTGCCCCCAGACTTCAAGATCGCCATATCTTAGTCGATTCGGTGAAGTTGGCTAGGACGATCGAGATGCCGTGGACAATGAGACCCCAACTGCAAAGTAGGCAGCTCCAGAAGTAAAGGCTGCGACGTGTGGCTCTGTACAGCAGGCGGATGTTAAGCTCGATGCAGATAGACCATGCGACTCCTAGGAACGCTGCTGCGGCCATGGAAGATGGTCGGTCGGCCAATTCGGGTGCCTCGGGAAGGCTGGGGTCTGTCTAACTCGATGCAGATGAATCATAAGACCACAACAGAAAAGGTTCATCAACAAAAAAAGTCCATCTGTTGAAGAGGCGGCTTATCGACGACTTCACCCATGCTGTTGCAGGGCGGCCCATAGCTGGTGTTGCACCGGGACTTCGGCGACTTGCTGCGCGCGCAGCAGTGCATCCGGGGACATCCATGTACGCGAGTTGCGGTAACTACCCGCACCACCTCCGTCATTGGCGTCATGGGCGCCTCAGACTCATCGCTGCTGGTAGTCCACAGCGATGAGTCCGAGTCTGCTCGGGCTGCGACTGTGCCCGGGAGGGCTGTCAAGCTCTGCGCGCTGTGAAGCGAGCACAAGGCTCTCAGGCCGGAGCCTATTCGCGTCGTTTGCCATCGTGTGGGAATCACGATGCTCGAAGGAGAGATGTCAAGCTCAGCGCGCTGCGAACTGAGCACAAGGCTCGTAGGCCGGAGGATGATTATCGAAGAGCGGTCGGCGGAAGATCCATCGTCGACACCGACTCCTTGACCTTCTTGGGCGCAATGTTGGGTCCGTTGATGATCATGGGAACACGCGCGCTGTTCTCATACCAGCTCAGAAACAGGAGCAGCTGCTTGTACGTCTCTCCTCTCTTCTTTCCATCGATCAGTAGCTGATCGTTGTGCTCTCCGCTGGAGATACCAACGAAGAGATGGGCATATGATGATCAAGACAGGGGTGTGAGTATAAGTTCCAGCGCTGGGCTTGGGCACCAGCCCTACTCCTGGATACGGCTCTGGAGACCGCCATCCAGGCATGCATGTTGACCGTGATGTTTTGGTCAAAATCGGTTTGCACTGATAGTCTCCCACTGTTGCTCCTACTCCTGCCATATTGGGATATGGAAATCGATTTCGACCCTTGGGTTTGACCGACTCGGTCATCGTGTTATTGCAGACGTAGGCAGTTTCGAACGCTGCTCGACCCGTCTATGGCCGCTTTCAGTCTCGCTGAAGAATCGAAATGGTCGCCGATGATTAAAGTGCGTAAAGTCCAAGTGGCTCCGTGGAAGAAGATGCCCATAGGTGGTGTTGCACCGGGACTTCGGCGACTTACAGCGCATGGCTGAAAGCACATAACGCTGGCCCATAGACGGAATGCGCCGGGACTTCGGCGACTTAGTGGTGGGTGAGATTGGTAGCGGCCACGTCTGGGAGAAGTTGTAGGTTTGTCTGTTCGGGTCGAAGGAAGGGTCAAAGGCACCGTCCACGCCGTAGATGGCGAATGGCCGAGTCCAGACGAACGTACATTCCATCTGGAGAGGAAGGAGCGAAAGAGTGATGTTTGTGTACGACCTTGGTGCCCATAGATGGCGATGCGCCGGGACTTTGGCGACTTGTGCCCATGGATGGCGATGCGCCGGGACTTCGACGACTTGTGCCCATCGATGGCAATGCGCCGGGACTTCGGCGACTTGGGTGCTGATGCTGGTGATGCGAGTGCTGCTGCTGCTGCTGCTGCTGGCTGCCATCGTGGTGCTGCTGTTGCTGTGTCATGCTGCCGGGTGAGATTGGGAGCGGCCACGAGATTGGTAGCGGCCACGTCTGGGAGAACTACACCCTCCTGCCTTCTCAGCAATCTCGTGGCCGCAGCCATATTTGTGTACGGCCTTGGTGCACATGTTGGCGGGGGTCGGCGAATGGCTTTTTCGCAGCGCATTCGAACGCTGGCCTATGGACGAGGTGCGCTAGGACTTCAGCGACTTACAGCGCATGGCTGAGAGCACATAACGCTGGCCTATGGACGAGGTGCGCCAGGACTTCGGCGACTTACAGCGAATGGCTTGTTCGCAGCGCATTCGAACGCTGGCCTATGGACGAGGTGCGCTAGGACTTCAGCGACTTAAGGACTTCGACGACTTACAGCGCATGGCTGAGAGCACATAACGCTGGCCTATGGACGAGGTGCGCTAGGACTTCAGCGACTTAGGGAATTTGACGACTTACAGCCCATGGCCTAGGGCACATAACGCTGGCCTATGGACGAGGTGCGCCAGGACTTCGGCGACTTACTGTGTCGATGTCCGATGTGCGCGCCCGCGGCGAGTAGCGGCACCGTCAAGGCGACGTCCCAGATGGGCACCGGCGGCGAACAGCTTCAGCACCTGTTTGATGACTTCTGGAGCGATTAGCATGACCCGGAGATCTTGAAGATGGGTTGGACTTACTGAGCATGAACGCCGCCGGGCGCCATCATTTCGCTGTGCCGAACGCCGAATCCCGCGACTGGCGGCAGTGGAGATATGACGATCGGATTATTGTCGTCTTGAAAACTTCTCGCGCCCCCAGTGATAGCTGGCGACTATCACCAGAGGCGACTTCCGCCGTGTCGACAAGGAGGACGACATACGAGCCTGAGGACCCATACGTTAGCACGGCGTTGCACAAGCAGGTGTACCATGGACGGCATCGGAAGTTCGACTTACCAGCTGAGGAAGACGTTTTGCAAGACGTGCCGGGCTGAACACCTGGCCTGTGCGAATATTTTGTAAGGACGAGAAGTGAGTGTGGTAGTCGGCGTTCGTTCGTACAGGCCCAGATGTCCAGCCGGCAGTGACAAGGCTACCAAGGCTTTTCGAGCAGGCGACTGCCTCTACCGACGTGTCAATCAGCTATGCTCACAAGAGGTAGGCGGGGTACTACTTACTGCTCTAGCCAAGAGAGGCAGTTTGTGAGAGGTGCCGGGCTGAACACCTGGCCTGTACGAACCTTCTGTAAAGACGAGAAGTGAGTGTGGTGGTCGGCGTTCGTTCGTACAGGCTCAGGTGTTCAGCCAGTGGCGACAATCCTGGAATGAAGTCTTGACTAGCGATGGGGTCAGCAATGGTCACAAGAGGTCGACGGGCTACTACCCACCGCTCTGGCCAAGGGAGGCAGTTTGTGAGAGGTGCCGGGCTGAACACCTGGCCTGTACGAATCTTCTGTAAAGACGAGAAGTGAGTGTAGTAGTCGGCGTTCGTTCGTACAGGCTCAGGTGTTCAGCCAGTGTCGACGACCCTAAACTGAAGCCTTGTCTAGCGATGTTGTCAGCAATGTCCAGGCATGGCCATCCGCAGCTGGTATAGCAGTGGCAGAGGAGGGGCTGAGTAGCTGCATCGGTCGACACCAAGCCGGCGAAGGCGGCGGCGTCAACGGCGAGCCATCAGGAGCGGAGTCAGTACATACCTTGATGCCTTGGGTGCGTCGAGCACCGGAGGAGGTCGCCTCCTCGTCGCCGAAGCGGGAAAGAAAGCGATGTCCGACCCAGAGTCGTCGTCCTACCCCGCGGCAAGCTCGAAAGCATCGCCGATGTGGTGTCAGGAGTTGTGCGAGGATGGCACGAGGGGCTCGAGAGGATGAAGAAGGGGAAGCACAGCAAGAATTGCGGCATTCGGGAGTGTGATGAAGTCGGTGGTGGGGTGGTGGAAGACAGTCAACAAGTCTCACCTTAAGGCGAACTCACCCGCTACCTGCGCACGGGCCACAACAAATGAGAGACGGCCTCGCAGAAGGAGCGCGATAGCAAGGGGAAGGAGACGCCGTCGACGGTGACCGTCGTTAGGAGCTGCTGTCCCAGCCGATTATCAAGATTGGCGTCAAATGGTCGCACAAGGCGATGCAGTGTTGAGTTTGCTATGGCAAAGACCATACGGACCTTTTGATGGCGACAGCAAGGCCTCAAGGTCCAGCTTTGTCTGCTCTGCAAGCACACGCAGCTGCTGCAGTGTAGCTGGACGAGACGGCGGCTGCAATGCAGTCCAAGCTGTGTGCATGGAGAAAGTGATATGGCGGCGGGCAAGCCACTGCACCCGCGCTCCTGATGTTCAAGACGGGGGGTCGCCAACTCCGCAATTGTTCTAAGTCCGTCAAAGCACCTCGAGCCCGACGAGATGGCGGAGCAACCGCAACATTTGTACTTGCTGA